TTAGTTGCTGGAGCAGCCTAACCCACAACACTTGGCTAGGAGAAAAGGGAAAAAACTCTAAATCCTAGGTCTAAGATGGTTTTAAGTATACTCATACACTTTGAAACCCATAAAACCAATATTGCTCTGCAGATGTCTCCTCCTCCTGTAACAAACATCTGCCAAAAGAAAAAAAAGGGGAAAAAAAAAAAAGAAAAAGAGAAAATAGTACCACAGAATCCACTGCACTGATGTTAAGTCACAAAACAACCAACACAGCTACACTATTGTTTTCCTCCCAACGGTTTTAGTATGACCCTGCAATATGCTATTATTCCCTTGTTCACAATAAGCCAGGAAAGGCTTTTGAATAATTTCATGCATTATAGTGTTATGAAAGAACATGTCCTACTCAACAAATTGAGGTAACAGTAATTGCTTCCCTTTGTGATGTTTCTGTTTCCAGTGTCCTGTCTTTGTGTCTCCTTTCATCATACTGGAAATGAGGACATCAGATGATCAATACTACGATTTACCTTTAGCAGATATTAATCTTTCTTCCCCAGTTAATCTTTTTCCAAAGCTCAAATTACTTCCTAAAGATGTTTTAAAGTTAATCCCGTTTTACTAAGCAGTGAGATAACAGAAAAATAATTGGGTTTTTTTAGCATAAAATACCAGAAAAACACCACAAAGATCCATCAGGACAATAAAAAAACAAAGAAAAAAAGAAAGGAAAAAACCAAACTTGTTTTCCATAGAGTGAAACAATACTTTAGAATAATCCTTATTTCTTAGGAATTATAGTTCAATGAGAATTAGAGGCTTCTAGAATATTATATAGAAAACACAGCAGTGGAAGGACATTAAGATCAGGAACCTTTCAATTACCTGGAATATGGAATTTTTCCACAGGAAAACTGCTTAGTTGCTCATATATTCGACTTTTCTCTTGTAAAAGAGTTTCTTTTAAGGCACTCTCCCTATGTCCTCGGGAATTGAGAGCCTCTAGGAGTTGGTCCAGTTGTTCCCGAGAATTGTAAAAGCACCAACGGTTTGGTTTATATACTGGCCTTGGCACCTCTACAACAACACTGGTGTGTGAATCTTGGTCAATATTGGAGGTAGATTCAGAGGATTTCAAAGACTCTCCAGTTTTACTGAATACCTGAGGTTGACTTGTGCAAGACTGTACACTATTCTGAAAGGAAGAGGTTCGAGGCAACAACATGTCTTCTGTGAGACCAGAGTAGTCCTCTTCTATAAACAATCCAGGAACAGAGGGGAAAATCCAGTAGCGTCGGTACAGACGGTCACGACCTAACGGGGTGATATTTGTGCAGGCTGTTGCATTCTGAATCTTTTCTAATAGTTCCTTCTCTTTCTTTTGTTGCTCCTGTTTTAAAGCTTCTTCGTCTTCAGCAGTAAGAGGTTCACTCTTTTCACAAGTGGTCTCTTGTCTTGTAAATTCTTTATATCCATTTTGCCCTCTCCTTCCTAAAAGATAAAAAGGAACAAGAATGATAACAACATGCTTATAAATTCTTTCTTTAACCAAAAACTCAAGTGAAGTGTTGACCTTACACTGACAAGGACCATCAGTTCAGTCAAGAAACAATACTGGTTTTATTAAAGAAAAATTTGAGTGGTTAGCTCCCTTCCCCTCGATAAAGAAGAAGCCATCTTTAGCATACTTTCACTTTGCAGAAACTCGATCAAGTCTCATTTACTAACATTGTCATTTTTAACACCATAAAAAAAACCCTCCCAAATTTTAAGAATTTAAAAATATGTTATAAAAGTATCTTACCATGATAAAGTAAAATTCTAGCAATTTCCCTATTGAATGCGAACTGTGTTTTGGACTTAATTTATCATACTTAAAATGATCAACTTAAACCCCTCAAAGACCTCAAGCAAAACCAGAATCCTTATATAAGAGCTTTTACTGCAAACTCAGTTACATTACTTTATCCAATTTTAAAAAATTTAAATATATATACTACCATTTTTTTCCCCCTCAACTAGTGCCAGCTGAAAATACTCCAGTTCACATCTTAGTTTAACAAAGAATCAGGTCCTGGTAGTTATCCAGAAAACTGTATCTTGTAATTAACACATGCAATGGTGAAATATGCCATCAGCACTCAATTTCTACCGATTTCCAGTGTGACCTTCTGTTTCTCTAATTGCAGGAATGAAATAATACTTGTTTGCCCTCCATGCACAGTGTCTCAAACATGAGCATTTGAGAAACTCGAAATTCTGTTTAAGACTTCACTGTTTTGCCATTAGAAAGCTGTAGTAAACATGCAAACTTGTATTACCGAACAACTCAGAATTTCTCTCCCAGTTACTGTTAGGAACTGCAGAAGTTTGCAACCTTAAGCCCACAGTGGTCCAGGACTTTCAATGGCACAGACACTAGCATGAAGCCTTCACGGGAGAAAGATACAGATGAGCTAACAGCCCAAAGCCATCAACAATTGATCCTCCTGTGGTAATATCTTTGTTTCGTTACAAATAGCAGGCTGTGCCATTTACTGCACCACAGTTCCTATTTGCACATTGCTGAGGAAATTAAATCCAGGGATAAGTCTGGTTGCATTCTTGTATAGAAGGCATGCTGCTTCATTAACAAAGGAAAACTAAACCCAAACACTCAATATAACAGGTTCTTTTAAAATACTCTTTGTTTCTGCAGCTTCCTAATAAAAAGAACCAAAACCACGCCATCTCCCATTAGATGAGACTCCTACAACTCTGAGTGCACTACCCGTAACTGTAGTAGTTTGTCAGGCAACAGCTTGGTTTGTTGTTTTGGGGGGGTTTGGTTGGTTGGTTTTAGGTTCTTTTAGACAAAACTGGAATCCAGACAGCAATTATGGAAGACAAGAAGAAACAGAAGCATAAAGAACATACAGCTGACCACTAGAACTACATCAGGCCACCTCAATGCACTTAATAGCCTGTTATGATCATGTTTTGGTGTTTGGTTTTTTTTTTTTTCTTTTCCTTTCAAAATCTACAGGAAGGATTGATACACTGAAGTTTACTATAAAACCCAGGAACTTCCTGTGTGCATATATGTATACAAATGAACAAATACATTATAGCATTACCTCTTCCTCGTTTTTTGTTTGGTCCCAGCTCTTCTTCATCCTCTGTCACTGTGTCCATGTCTTGCTCTTTACGTTCAATTTCTTTGCTCTCTGTACTAGTATCAAGGTCTTCCCGCTCCTCCTCTCTGATACAATAGAATAAACAAGAGATGACCAACTGACCAACCATGTATTAAAAGCTGAATGGAATGGAAGAAAAAAAAAAAACCCACCACACAATAGAACATGGCAGCTTCAACACAAACAGTACTTTCCTCTCAGAAGTACTTAAGCTGTCAAAGACCTATAACGCTTTTCAAAAATAAACTTTAAGTCATGGAATATGTTAAAATCCAGAAGAAACCCACTGAACTGTAAATGGAAAGTTCCATACTAAAGACTAAAATCCATTCTTTGGTATTCACCCTTTCATTTGAAAAGCATTACTAGTTTTGGTGACATCTTAGTGTAGTTCTACTGACCTGTATATTTTTTTTCACGACTGAAAAAATGTTTCCTTATTAACATGCACCCAGTTTCATAAAACGCTTGTTACACATTTTTCCCTCTTCTAGCAAATATAATTAAAACCCTACAGAACTACATGCAACCATTACAGGATAACATTTATTTCATTATTTTTTCTCAATTATAGTTTCAAAACTATAGCACAAATCTGTCTTTGGCTCATGCTCACCTTTTGCAAGCAGACTTATTTAACTAACTCCCTCAAACAGGTAAAGATATAGTGTTGTATGTATACTTTGCTTTTTTTTCTGGAATCATATACAGCTGCATGTGCATGAATCTTACGACCTGAAACCATACAATTTTAATAACAGATCAAAAAACTTGGGTTTATGGAAATCACCTGAGATGGCATTTTTTAAAAAAAATGCTGTGCTATTAAATGATTCAAACTGTTATGTGAGATCAGTATTACTCAGATTACAGTATTAGCTCAGATCAGACCAACTTCCTCAAATTAGAAAGTGAACTAGAATGATCTATTATGCACATTTTGATAGATATGAAATCAACTCAAGACAAAAAGTAATGCAAAAAACCCTCGAATTAGATTTTGTAAGTTTCTCTTGTCAGTAGGTAAAACTGTCGAGCTTTCAACAAAAGTATAGTAAAAGCTGATTTTAAAAATGATATCACTTTCATAAAGCAATTCTAGAATATTAAGGGCTATGTACTTAAAGTAAAATATACCTTTGTATACTAAGGTATATTTTATATACCTATAATATATACTTAAATATTGTATAATTAAGTCAATGAAAACTACATAAGTAAGGTCTGGCCACATAACTGAAAAGCGCTATATCACACATCGTGTTACTGTGATATATATCATACCCAACAGATACAGGATTTCTTTGCTCCTCTTCCTTCAGCTTTTCTTGTTTCTCTTTCATTTTTAACTCTTGTTCTTTTAACCTTTCTTCTCTCCTCTTGCGTATCCTAATAGCAAAAAGAATATAGAAAACCGGTTGCAATTTATCTACTATCTGATCTGGCCACATCTTTTTTCTTTTTTACTACAGCATCATCTAAAAGTAACAGTAACATGGGAAAGCACAATAAAAGTTTCACTCTTGTCTAGAGTCTCAAGAAATCAGCATAAAACACAAACACTTCTATTGTTTTTCATACTAATTCCTCAATTGCAAAAATTTAGCTTTCTGTATCCTAGTGTTACCTTGCTGCTGCTGCTTCTCGTTCTTTACGATGCTGCTCTGCCTTTAATTCTCTAAACTCCTGTTTTGCCTGTCGTAACACATCAACAGAGTCCTCAATGAAATCTCGAGTGGAGACGAGAGTCAGAAGTTTCCCACAGAGGGCATGAAGAATCTTCATCTTTTCTCCTAGTAAAATTCAGACAAATGTTTATATTTCATTATACAACAGATAAATAAGCCTTACTCTTACACGCTCCAGACTGAAGACTACTTATTCTTGAGTGAGAACCAGAGTCAAACATTTACAGTGCACCAGCTGTACTTGCAAAAAGGCATTTCCTCAAACACCTGCTTTGCTCAGAGATGTGAGTCTTTGTTTTTAATTTATTAATTTTTAGCACCAAAAGGAGAACTAAATAGAATATTATCTTCAAAACAGAGATAAAAGAACAGCAGATAGTAATTTTTTTTCCATTTCCAAATAATAAACAAAAGATCCAAACTAGAACAGCAATAAAAGCACGGGTTGAATCAAACTCTAGATGCTTCTCCCACAGACATTCCCTTCTTCAACTAAACCCAACATTTCTTAATGGAATTTAAAAACCCAGATACTCAAAAGTAATGAGACTGCCTAACTCTGCAATTTCTCATCTGGTGGGACCTTCTTGCAGAGGCCAGAGCACAGTGGGTTGGTATTGGTCTAGATGACCTCCAGAGGTCCCTTCCAACCCAAATTATTCTGTGA